GTTCTGCAAGAATATGGGTTTGCATATGATGTCTTCCTCTAAAGAGAATACAAAATTTCCTGTTTGTTGCGAAGAATCTTTCGTTTAATGACGTAAAACGTCGAGTAGCATGTGAACCTGTTTGAGGGTGTGGATATTGGCTTGGACATAGTTCTCATTCTCCCACCCACACACCCACATCCCACCATATATGTTTAAGTCTGACTAATCTCAAACTCTTATCGATGGATATTGTCTTGATGATCTATATTGGACATTAGCGCTATATCATATCGATGAACATAGAATTGTGCTGTTGATTATCGAGGAAATGCATACTGTTGGCTGAATATTCGTATTATTCGGATATTGAAAGCATTATTCTACAAAATCAAAAGCATAGTCAAAATTCACTCATTAATTCGTGTCAAGGTACTTATCATCTGCCTATTGGTATATCTAGACAATGCACACCAAATATACTAAAGGAATTTACTTCAGGGCTCAAAATAGTATTGCTTTTTTACGCTATGAAAATAATAGTATGAGAACGAACCCAAGAAAAAATGTGCTCCATCATTTTGATCATTTCCTTCGAAACTTGCCACTATCCAGTCAGATTACCAATACAAATGGTTTCATGTTCGATTAACCCTTTCGAGTCGATGGGGCCCACCGGTGGGCCCCACTATATTTTAACAAGAAATTCAATAGAAAAAAACTTTCTTTTCTTTTATTCTTAGGTGAAAGATTAGGCGTAATGTGTGCCTTCGCTATTTTTAAAATCATTTATTGATAGCGTAATGCTTCTCGTTAAAACAATCAACACAAAAAAAATTGTCACAATCAGAACAGAAAGTTTTTATTTTCTTTGTTGTTGCATGACACTCTTCTCTTGATTATTCTATCCTGTTTTTCTCGTAACAGCCAGCACATAACAACACCTAACAAAGTCAAAGATAGTGCTACGAAAAGAATGCAAAAGAACAAGATTGAAATTTTTTTCTTTACCTTGTTCCTATTGCGCAATGCGTACAAGAGAAAAACAAACTTGAGTAACTATTCGGCTCGACGCGAAAAAGCACCGCCTATGTAATGCTATAAACAAGAAAAAGAAAAACGAACGGCTCTACATACTGAAAAGTCCAACGAGTGCATTTGTCGAGGGTGAATACACACGAAAATGAATGTGTTAACGTTATTTTCTATGAAAATCGAATCGACTCGAAAGGGTTAAAATAAATGTCACAAAATATTTGTTAAATAATCAGTATCAAGATTTTTCAGGCATATTGAAACAAAATAAATATCTCCGAATCTCAAAAATATGACAGAGGGATGTGTTAGCGCCAACAGATGACACTATGTTGACGCTAACTTAATTGAACTTCGTTCAATTGGCCTTTTCTTATTTTTCTTTCATTTGTTGGTGCCTTCTCTTTCATTCGTTCTATAACTAGATTTTTCTTTTTCGTTCTGTCTTTCTCTCTCTTTCGGATTTTCTCAGAATTTGATTCAGTTCAATTGAACTTTTTCTTATCTAGTAGAAGGTTGTATTGTATTATCTACGATATCTCTTCCATTATTATTATCCTTGATATCATCATAATAACCCCCCCCCCCTCCCCTTATATTATTTTTCGTATTCCATTACTTCATCATCACCAACATCATTATCACGTAGTCAATTCCAAGATATGATCTTTATACTTTTGCGCCTCAATAATAACAATTAAAAATTGACTTAACAGAATGTTTATCTCTATTGTGATGGTGGATTTCATAAATCTCACTATCTTCACTACCGACATAACGTGTTTTTAATGTCACAATCATAACTTAATCGAATACACAACAGAATTGATATTTGTTTTGTTCCTATCCTTCTAGGATGAATATATCGAAAGAAGCTGCTGTTGACAAAATCAAGGAGAGTAACATTCAACCCATTGATGGCAATACAGATGCCATCAATGAATGCATGCGCTGCCATTTGCACAAGTTGGCGAAGATGGCTACAATCAAGTCAAAGAAAAACAATGCTATAGTTGCTGCACACCCAACCAAATTAGCATTTGTAATTTTCTTTGACAATGGAAGTAAGATAAAAAAATTGCTTAGACTAATCTATCTATTATTTTAGTCATCGAGCAGAAGAGACCAAAGACACATCCGGCATCTCCAGTTGTACAACCTCGCTCACCGGTGACTCCGACGTCGTTACCATTGGTTTCAACTCCTCCAATGATTCCAACACCTTCACCAATTTTACCACCTGTTCCACCAGTCTTACCTAGTCTACCTGCGATACCAAGTTCACCTACTCCATCTCTCTTATCTCGACCATCAACTTTACCATCTCAATCACCAGCTGCTCAAGTACCAATTCCAGATAAATTATCAATTATCCACTCACCTTTCTCACAATCGTATATGCAACAATAGTTTCATTCAAAATAATCATAGACAGTCTTCTTTTATTGTCAACACTATTAAAATTTTATGTTTCAGGTCCATCTGCACAATAAACTCCACCAACAATTACTAAGGATACTCTATCGACCCTAACTAAAGTTATGGACCGGTGAATCATAGTTTTCTATGTTAATATATCGTTTATAATTAACAATTTACTTCCTTTAGGTTGAATGTCTCATCTAACTCATCCATATCAGATTAAGTTCGTGTTTGTACAATCAACCGAGTGAGTAGAAGTTCATCTCTGTTCTAAACAAGAAAGGAATCTTTGTTCTAGAAAAATCAATATTTTACGTATGTAAATGAATTCTTTTCAAAATCACAACATTCGAAAGTCTTCTTTTTCTGCAAAAGAAAAATACGTGTGACAGAAAAAAATTCTCCTAATTAAGCGTGTGGCAGCTCCAGTTCTACGCCTCACAACATCAGAAACAAAGACATGGTACAGAGCTTCAGCTTCTACGTGATGGGCTAAATTACCAGCTCACATCTTCTGATCCTATTACTATCGATAGAAACGGGGTGTGGGTGTGGGTGTTCTGTTCACTCACGCCCAACACTCACACGCACACACCCTACATATCGTCGTTAACTCTTGTGAAGATTGTCTTTATTGATGGCTGTTTTACTGAACTTAATGCAATTCTATGTTACCATTTGTTCGTCAAATGTATCTACGTTACCAGTGATCAATAATAAAGTAAATGAATCCTATTAATATGTTTTGATTAAATGAATAATAGTTACATTCATTAAATACTTTTTTGTTTTGTAGAAAAAACTTCAAAATTTAAAATGTTTTGTGCTAACTCATAAATCAGTGTTATTGGTGCGTAGGATATCTT